AAATAAATAAATATTGTAGGTGCGTGAATTCAGCAAAATAAACCAACAGAGACCAAGAGTCCATAAGAGTAGTGGGTTATCCGTAGGACTAGCAATGTCAGAAATTGTTGACTTGAGCCTTTTACAGCTCAGCGTATTAATATGGCTTTACTTTTTGTTGTTGTTTTTGGTTTTTCTTGTGATACCGGGGACCGAACTCAGGACCTACTGAGCTAATCTCCCCAGCCCCCATGGCTTTACTTTTTATACCTTGTTTTTATACTTTTCTGCTGGATGGTTAAGACCAAGATAAAGCAAGGCCTATATAACAAGAAATGTAACTTGTATCTGACAAGGTCAGCCAAATCTCCTCAGGATTACCCTGAAAACCTCTACCGCAGTTTGTAGATCCTTTGTCAGTGTCAGCCATGTGGATGAGTCACGGCCATTGCTTGACCAGTGTGCTCTCTGTGAAAGCCTGAGAGAATGTTTTCTCTCCATGTGACTCTCCTTAGGCACACTCTACATTGTCAATCACTTTCCTCTGTGGCCCCATAATCTCCTTGATCAGAAAATTTGGGACATCACTGAGTTATAGGATATTACAGTACAGGTTCTCTTATGTCTTGAGTCCTCACTGACCTTGAAAGGGTAGGGCCATTAGATAGAGAGAAATAAAAGGTATAAGAATAGGTAAAGAAGAAGTTAAACTGTCATTATTTGCAGATGACATGATATTTTACTTGGAAGACCCAAGAAACTCCACCAAGAAACTACTAGAATTAATACACAAATTCAGTAGCATAGCAGGATACACAGTCAATACCCAAAAGTCAATAGCATTCCTCTATACAGATAACAAACACACTGAGAGGGAAATTAGAGAAACATTATCTTTTACAATAGCACTGAGGAAAATGAAATACCTAGGAATTAATCTAACTAAAGAAATCAAAGATCTATTCAGTGCCCTGTAGCTAAGGTAGCTCCATCCACTAGTGGTGAGACCAAGTGGTAAGGACCTTAGAAAATGGAAGGAAATACTGACCTCATTGATGGGAAGTCAATCAGCGTGCTGATCAGTTCAGATGCCTGCTTACCAAGCACCTGCTTGGTGTGCAAGCTTGATATGATGAGTGCTGGAACCCAGAAATAGAAGTAGCACAGTCCTTTGCTCTTGAGGAGTGCACAGTCTAATTTAAGTGAAAGGCAGACAGGCCAGGTGTAGTGGCACACAATTATAATCCCAGTACTCTGGGAGGCTGAGGCGGGAGGATTGAGAGAAAGTTTGAGCTAACCTAGGTAACTCAGCAAGACTCCATCTCAGAAAAAGGGCTGAAAATAAAAGTCCACTCAAAGGGCCTAAATTCAATCCCAGTACTGCATGGGGGTGGAAAGAGGCAAGCAGTCCACTATAGAAACACATGATAAATGAGCACATAGAGAGACGTGTCACTCTGCCCAGAGAAGGGTGTACACGGTGGGCCCAAGAAGCAGAGGTATAAGGAACCTTTCAAGTGGCAGCCTCTGTGCAGTGCCCCAGAAGATGAGGGAACTGACCCTGTGCTTGTGAGAAGCAGCTGAAGGGCAGCTGGGCTGTTTCCCTGGGCTTCTGTCCCGTACTGCCCTTCCTCACCTCTGGGCCTTTCTCACCTGCCCCAGGGACCCCGGGTGCAAGGGGCACAAGTTTGCACACAGTGGCCTCGGCTGCCCACTGCCCCAGCCCTGCGAAGCAGATGAGGGGCTGGGTGAGGAAGAGGACAGCAGCTCCGAACGCAGCTCCTGCACCTCGACCTCCACCCATCAGAGAGACGGGAAGTTTTGCGACTGTTGCTACTGTGAGTTCTTCGGCCACAATGCGGTGAGTGAGCCTGCCCACGCCAGAGAGGGCTGGGGACCAGACAGGTGAGCAAAGGAGCACCCTGCTCTCCCGAGACCCCTTGCTCACATAGTAATCACTACACCGGAACCCTGTGAGTCCTCACCTGTGTCCACTTGCTTGCGCCTCACAGCACATTGGTGAGATTGTGGTTTTTTCAGTTGTTTTTTTTTTGTTTGTTTGTTTCTGTTTTTTAAGATTTTGCTGCCTTTATTCTTCTCGTGGTTTCTCTTAAGATTGACTTTTTTTCTTTAGGCAAAAGGAAAGGAAGTGGCAGAGAGAAAGCTATGATTCTGATGAGTATGTATACGTGTGTAACCCCAGAGAAATGAACGCTTGTGCGTGTTGAAGGCAGAGTGGGGGCAGAAAGGCCCTCAGTTCCCCAGGTCTGACAGCCAGCCAAGGGACAGGCCGTGAGCACAGATGGCGCCAAGAAGGAGGCTCAGATCAGAGCACATGCTGTTTCTGCACAGGGAGAAAGCAGTTCAGAAGTCTCATAAGGTGAAGAAGAAAGGGCTGCTGGTCAGGGCAGAACAGCTGAAGATAGGAAAAATGAAAGTAATTCAGCTACTAGTCACATTTGAGCTAGGTATTATTATCCTCATTTTAGAGATGACAAAATTGAGGCTTACAAAGACTTGATGACTCGCCCAAGGTCATACAGCTTCTAACTGATGAAGCCCAGGCTCAAACCTGCTTCCCTGGCTCCCCAGTCCATGTTTGCTCAACTCTGCCCTGTTCCTTCCTACTCTCTCTACCCGCCGCTACCTCAGCTCAGAGCCTGGCTGAGGATGAAGCCATTTGGCCTTGGTGGCTGATGGTAGAATAGTTGTCTCGTTCCTTACCACATACTTGGTGCCAGTGGGTGGGAGTGCTTATGGGCCTTTCAGGCCCAGGGTGTAATGTCAGCACCTCCCCCTCCCCCAGCCACCCGCTGCCCCGACGAGTCGGAATTATACTGAGATCCGGGAGAAGCTCCGCTCAAGGCTGACCAGGCGGAAAGAGGAGCTGCCTATGAAGGGGGGCACCCTGGGCGGGATCCTTGGGGAGCCTGCCGTGGACCACCGAGATGTGGATGAGCTGCTGGAATTCATCAACAGCACGGAGCCCAAAGTCCCCAACAGCGCCAGGGCCGCCAAGCGGGCCCGGCACAAGCTGAAAAAGAAGGTGGGTGTGGGGGGAGCTCAGCACTACTGCCTCTCCTCCCTGAGGAATTCCCTCGTCTCAAGCCCCAAGACTTCTGGGGCAGGAATGGTTCTAGCTGCCAGACCTTGGCATGGATCACTGCTCTAGGAAGGTCTGAATGAGTTTGGGAGGCATCAGGGTCAGGGAGCCTGGGGACAAGTGATCAGAGGAAAGCATGTATCCTGACCTCAGAAGCTGCTTGCTGGATTCCTCTAAGCCAAGGGCTTGCTTCAGTTGGTCATTCATTCATTTCAGCAATTACTTCTACAAATACTGGGAATCAAAGTCTAATGCAGTTAAGAAGCTCAGTCCAGTGTGGAAACTGACAGAAATGGACAAGGATACTAGTGTATAACTAGTACCAGGATGAAGAAAGCCCTCCATCCTCCCTGGAAGTGGCTTCGTAAGATGCTGACTTATGAACTGAGTCATGGGAAGTGAGGACAGATCAATCAGTTTAGCCTAAGCCTTTTTTTTGCCCTGGGAATCGAACTCAGGACCTTGTGCTTGTGAGGCGAACAGATTAATCAGGAGGGTTCGCCCAGCAATGGGTACAGCACACCCCACAGGAGCTTGGTAAAGCCAAAGGAGAAAACAGCAGAGAAGGCAGGACAGATGGTGGAAGTGAAGGAGGGCCTCAGAGGTCAGCTGAAGATCAGCTTCGGCCTTAGCCTCCAGGTGAGAGCTTGTCACTGGAGAGTTGTCATCAAAGAATGTGCTTGGTTAGATCCATGTTGTCATTGTGTGGTCTTAGATTGAAGGGTGATTGACTTTGATGCTCCAGGCAGAAAAAGATAGGCTAAGAGAGAGGTGATTATGGGTGGGACTAGAATAGCAGAGATTTTCAAAGGAAGCAGTAATGACAGACCTGGGTGCAGAATAGAGTCAGGATGTTTCCCAGGTGGTGACCAGCAAGATGGTGTTAACTTTCAGAGCCAGGATGATATTTGCAGAAGACTGGATGCAGCTGGGGCACAATGACTCGGAGATTCCTGTGAGACATCCAAGTGGAGACAGATGCGAGACTAGGAGTTTCCAACACAGAGATATAATTGAAGCTATGGGAATGAACCAGTCCTCAGGGCTGAGAAATGACCCGAGGAAGCTATTCCTGGGCAGCCCTGCTGTTGAGTGAGCCCCAGGACTTGATAGCTCATTCCCTGTGGCTTTGTTACCTCTTTACTTACCTATCCCCAACTGCATCTGTGCAATGTCACATTCAGGAGCCCAGCATGTAGGGGGATTTGGGTTGGACAGCCTGCTAGTTACAGTTCTTGGGTGGTCAAATAGCCCTGTTGCTCTGGAAGGCAGAAGTGATTCTTCATCTTTTTCCAACCCAAAGGACAACCAAGGATCCTTCTGCAACTTGACATTAAGCCAAAGGATCCCACCACTCCCTTCAGAAAATGTCTTGTTCTCATCCAGAGCTGTCAGCCAGATGTGTTCAGTGGGCTGCAGTGGTGTTGCTGACCCTTTAGGGTGTGACTCCAGTTAAATCCCTAGGGGACACCTATAGTTGCCAGACCTGATATACTTTGCATAAAAGTGTAGGCCCAAATGGACCTCCCCACTTCACTTATAATGCTGTCCTTTCATGTGTTCTCTTTGGCACAGGATGTCCTTCCAAGCTCAGTTTAGACCCTTCTTCCTTTGCAGATTTCCTCAGGGAATTCTTCTACTACTCACTTACTGCACCTGGCCTATTTCTGTAGGCTGCCATTTATCATGGTCTTCTCACTCAACCCAAGGCTCACTGCATAGCAACCATCTGCCAAGCCCAGCCTAGAGGCCAGGCTGCAGACAAACCAGGAAACCCTGCCTTTCCAGATGTAGTCATGGAACCTCAGGTGAGGACAACATGCACAAGCAGTCATAGTATCACTGTCAGTGTAGACCCCAATCTTCTCCTTGAGGTTCCTCCACCTGCTAGATTTAACAGCTGTCCATTAGCTCTCCCAGAAGCTAGGTAGTGATAGTTGCTTATTTTCTTCCACCTTGAAAGATGGACGAAACCAAGTGTCTTTCTGTTCCTTTATCTCACTCTCACCTTTGTGTACTAATCCCTAATCTTTTAAAGCTTTACCCAGGTCAGTATCTACAACCTCTTGGCCCGTTCTTCATCCACTGAATATAGTCATCTCCCCATTTCTTTTTTTTTTCTTTTTTCTTTTGTATTTGAGGGAAGGGTCTACAGGGTGTTCAGGGTCTCACGACTAGATCGGACTCATAGTGATCCGCCTGGTTACAGCCACCCAAGAGCTGGGGTTATAGGTAAGGGCCACCACGCCCAGTCTCAATTGCAATCTCAGTTTGCCCCAGGGGCAGGGCTGGCACTGCAGGCCTGGGGATTGAACCCCTGGCCCCTGCACCTGTTTGCAGGTGCTTTAGTCTGCTGAGCTATTTGGCTGGCCCTCCCCATTTGTTTTCTTCCCAGTCTAATCTTGCATTAACTCACTTTAGGTATTGGTAAAAGTACAAGCAAATAAATTTATCATTCAATAACCATCCAGCCAGCACTCATTCTCACCCCATTTGCCTTCTGTCATTTGCTTAGAAAAAAAACGGCAGCCTCCTTTGTAAGTGCCAGGCTACCTCTCCCTTTGTGCACCTTGAGGATGGAGAATGCATGACCCAATCTGTCATGGTACCCTGCTGGGTAGTCTCCCACTTGTCTAAGCTCCTGCATTGCCTGGCCAGCCTCCTGTAGGCCCAGTGTCTCCCTGTTGCTCTGCATGTCTATTCAGTGTCTTTGGCAGACCTCTTAACCAGCCTCCAAACTCTCCCAGCACCCACATACACACACCTTTATTTTTGGCAACCTCACTTCCTATTTCCGAGAAAGAAAGCTATTGGATGACATTCCTTTGTGGGGGAGAGGCTGGCTCAGGCTGCCTTAAAGGGCGCGTCTGTTGTGGCTGGTGCTAAGAATCGAACTGCAGTCTCTTGCCCCTGACCGATTTTGCCGAAGCAGGCGCTTTAGACAACTGAGCTGACCTGCTAATCCCAGACTGACATTCTCCTGACTCTGATCACCCCACCTGCTTTTACCCCATCAGGGAAGGGTTAACCGTTTCCCACCCTAGACTGAATGCTTTTTTCTGCTGCTTCAGCCCAGCACGAGACCACCTGCTCTGGCCTCTCTTCTGGTCCAGGTCCCATCACATGTCACTGTGCCCCCCTGCTCTCTGTTTTGTAAGCAAACTGTTCCTGGGCTCGTAACCTCACCTGCCCAGTTCCCCAGTCCTTTTCCTCTCAGAGAAGCCACATTTCTTGAAAAATAGTAAGAGCCTTCACTATCTTCACTTCCGTACCTTCTCAGCTCCCTGCAGATTGCTGCCCTACCCTCTATAGTGTTTCCATTGACTTCTTGTTTCTAATCCAAATTCCTATACCCATTTATATTTGTCCAATAAGCAAACTTTGACATGTTGTATATGTTCTTCTTTTCAAACTTTTTTTTTTGGCTCCTCTAAGCCAAGCAGGTCAGGAGAGGAGCAGTGGGAATGCCCTCTTCTTATGATTTCTGACCTGCCTCTGTGTCTACTTTCTGTCTCCTTTGTAAGTGCCTAGTCCTGCCTCGTGAGTACCTCTCCCTGGAAAAAGAAAGCTATCTAAGTAGTGTCTCCTCCCTATACTTCACGGTGAAGTAACCTCTACCACTACTGGGCTCCTTACAGATACCCCATAGGTCTCGCAAACTCACTACATCCAAAACAGCCTGACAGCGTGTAACCTTCACGAAAGGGGCCTGCCTTTCCTTCCCATTGTCTGTGGTACTGCTTTTTACCCTTTTGGCTGACCTGGACCCCACCCAGGGCACCATCTTTTGGGAGTGAATCATAGTGACTGAGATCAATGAGCCTTGGAATTGGACCTCAGTTTGAAGCTCGGCTATGCCATGCTTGCTGTATGACCTTGGGCAAATCACTTAACCTCTAAGCCCCAGTTTCTTCATCTGTGAAATGAGAATAACAGGAGAACCTAAGTCATAGCTTGTTGTGAGGATGAAAAGGAATGGTGCATGGAAATGTTGGGCAGGTTGCCTGACACATGTGAATGCTTGGTCCATGGGGGCTGGTATAGCTGGTACAGTGTTTGACAATATTTTTTTAATGCATCTCATTCTCTTTCCGCACCCAAAATCAAAGTCTTCTCTATACTACTTTCCCCAACAGCTCAAACCACTTCTCTCCCCCAACTGCCTCTATTTCACAGTGGCTAAACATTGTCTTCAGGCACAAATCCAGTTTTTAACACAGCCAAGGATTCTGGATCAGCATCCAGCTCCTCTTAGCTTGCCAGCTTCATCAGGCTCGCCTCTCTGACCTGCCTCCCTATTCACACCCTGCCTAGCCCACAACAATAATAAAAAGTAGGCTCAAGCTATACTCTTGAATGGTTTGCATTCCAAAATGATGTTTTCCCATTTCCCAGCCTTTATACTTGCTATTCCTTCCCTCTAAACAGTCCTTCTTTCACTTTTTTGGGATAATTCTACTCACCCTTCAGTGTCTCCTAGAAAACACCCCCTAATGACCCAAGCACGTGAGCACCCTCTTCCTTATATAGCACACATTGTCAGTGTCATTCTGAATTAAAACAGCCTATTTGCATGTCTGTCTGTCTCAGCAGAGACCTTGTCTTAAAAGCAACCGCATTCTCAGGGCCTAGCCCAACTGCCTCACATTTGATAAGTAGTAAATGCTTAGCAAATAGAAGGGAAAGCCATAGCAACTTCGGAAGATCATTCCTGATGGATTGTCCCACCTCTGCCATTTATTAGCCATGAGCCAGTTCTGTATTCTCAGACTTGAGGTTCCTCATCTGTAAATTGAGGATCATGATGCAACAAGGACAGTGGTAAGGACTAAATGAGACAACCTAAGGAAGGAGCCAGGCTTATGGTATGTAGCAGATTCAACATTTCCCTGCTTTCTCCTTCTCTTCTAGCCAAAGTCTATATTTTGCCCTGCACACCAGTACTTGTAGACTTTTTTATTTAGCAGCAACTTTTTTCTATAAATGAAATCTTCCATGGAACCCCAATCTATAACAATTAGAAGCAAACCTGTACTGATACAAGAGGAGGAAAGTGAAGTACCTTTAAGGCCCCCAGCCATCTCTGCAGCCTAAGCCCCACATACAACTGGAAGTGCTGCTCCAGGCTGTGCTGCTGCTCACCTGAGCCCACCACTGCCAGGGCATAGCCTTTGGCACTGCCCCTTGCAGCCATTCCCACAGCCTATGCGGTAGAGGTATTTTCTTGTCTTTGTAAGTTACAAACTGGGAAATGGGATTCAGAGAAAATAGGTGATTTGTCCAAGGTCCCAAAAGCACAGCTGACCTTAGTTGTAAAGCCAGTGTTCAAAACAGATGAGAGGATAAATACTAGGGTACAGGGTCACACTTTTAAGTTGACTGAAGTGGTAGCAAGTCCTCTTTTCTCTGCCCAAATTTCTTTTCCTGTTTTTCCCCCTTCCTTCTCAAATCAACTGCCAATATGTAAGGTGGTGGGAGTCATTCAGCACCTGGTACACCACCATCACTTCCTTCCCAAGGATTCTGGCATCTCTGCTTCTTGTCTGCCTCTGAAGGCCTCATTGGCCTGATGGTGCCAGTGACTCAACCCACAGAATGATTTCCATTCTCTGGGTTCAGATCTGTCAGAAACCCAGGCTTCACCTAGGCTGAGAGGCTGCTTTTACAACTTGGTGCGAGGGTCAGGTCTGGCTGTCCATTGTATGCCCTGGGGCATACATTAAATGTGACCTCAGTTACAGCCAGCTGAGCAGTGAAGGTTGCCCTTGTCAGTAATCCCCAGAACACAGCATTAGGAGATCATATGCATTCCTAGCCATTCATAGTGGTCTCATCTACTGGAGGCAGTCTTAACAGCCCCCATCTTTCCCATAAGACTGTAATATATGGCTTTCTCCTGCCACCTGCAGAATTAAAAAGATTACCTCTCCAGCATCCATGTTGCCCACATGTACTCCAATTTGATGTTCACTGCAGAATTATTGTCCCCATTTTACATACAAGTTGACTGGTGAATGAGTAAATTACTGAGGGTCACACAAGCTTAGGCCCAAAAGGCAGACCCTCTCCCCTTGTCTCCCAACCTTTCTAGGCTGTAGGACTGACCCTGGGCCTAGGATGGACAAGCTATAAAAATCCTATCTTTTGGGGCATACCTTTACCTTTGTTCAATACTGTTACCTGTCTGATTACATTTCACCCTCATTACTACAAGATGATTGAGCAGGGAAGGATCATGAGACTGCCTCCAGGAAGTTAGTGACAAAGCAGGGCCCCAGGCTGATGTGTCAGGTGTCACTTTTTTCCTGACAGCTGACAGGCCCCTGCTGAAGCTACCTCTTGTATTGACAGGAAAAAGAGAAGGCCCAGTTGGCAGCAGAAGCTCTGAAGCAGGGGACTCGTGTTTCTGGAAGCCAGGAGCCAAGGCCTGCCAGGGAGAGGCTGTTGGAGTGGCCTGACCGGGAATTGGATCGGGTCAACAGCTTTCTGAGCAGCCGTCTGCAAGAGATCAAGAACACTGTCAAGGACTCTATCCGCGCCAGCTTCAGCATGTGTGAGCTCAACATGGACAGCAATGGCTTCTCAAAGGAGGTAGCTGCCGAGCCTGAGCCCCAGACTTTACCCCCCTCAAACCTTAATGGCTCCTCAGAGCAACGGCCTGACATCAACCTTGACCTGTCCCCTTTGACTTTGGGCTCCTCCCAGGGCCACACATTACAAGCTACAGGTGAGCCAGCCCCACCATGGGCAGAAATGAGAGGCCCCCACCCACCATGGACAGAGGTGAGGGGCCCTCCTCCTGGTATCACCCCTGAGAATGGGCTAGTAAGGAGACTCAGTACTGTGCCCAATCTGTCCAGGGTGATTTGGGTCAAGACACCCAAGCCGGGCAACCCTAATTCTGAGGAGCCAAGTTCAAAGGAGATCCCAAGATGCAAGCAGGAGCTACCTGAGCCTGTGGCTACAGGTGGAAAGCCACGTAAGGGCAAGAGACAGGGCAGTCAGGCTAAGAAGAGCGAGGCAAGCCTGGGCCCCCGGCCCCCAACCAGCATAGAGACCCCCAGTATGAAGAGCCACATGTCTAGTCCCAAACATCTAGGCAAGGGCCCAGAGCCACCCAAAATGGGCAGCTGCTTCGAAGCTGAAGAGGGTACCCAGGGAAGCCGGCCAGGACCAGGTTGGGCTGATAGCTCCAAAACTGAGAAGGAAAAGTGCATCTCCTGGAGGAACTGGCCAGATGAGGCCAAGGTACGGCCTCCAGAGCAGGAGTCTGTGCAGCCTCCAGGCCCAGCAAGGCTACAGAGCTTGCCCCAGGGCAAGGGCCGCAGTCGCCGGAGTCGCAACAAGCAGGAGAAGTCGGCCTCCTCGTTGGGTGAGTGCACCAGAAACCGAGTGGCTGGCCCCCCCACCGCAACCAGGCCACGGGGTGGAGGGCAGTCCTCATGTGGGCAGTGCTGCCACCAGAGCATGACCCCCAGAGGCCTGGCCATGGGCACTGAGCCCTCCTGGCTATGTCTTCCTAGACGATGTATTCCTGCCCAAGGACATGGATGGGGTGGAGATGGATGAGACTGACCGCGAGGTGGAGTATTTCAAGAGGTAGGTGTGGGCTGTCGGTTCTCCAGCGCCATGAGGGAGCCTATGCCTAAGAGCCGTATTACACCTTGGGTCTCTAAAGGACCTACTCCCTCAGCCCTGGACCCTTGGGGGACCTCATTGCCTTTCAGGCTCTGGCACATAGCTTGTCTCTTCAAACCCAGGGAACCATTTGACAAGATGGAGCATTTGGGAAGGTTTAAGGCATAGAGAGAATGGGGGATGTCAGACCTCAAGAACCAGGGCTTTCTCCAGCTTTATTTACTTGCATTTACTCTGTCTGCTTTGCTTGGGCTAGGCTCTTGGAATAGTCTAGGCCAGTGATGGCACACCTTTTAGAGCTTTCAGTGATACAGCCCACTGCAGCATACATGCCATAGGTTCACCACCACTGGCCTAGACAGAAAGGATCCAGAAGTATACAGCATAGTGACTCATGCCACTAGACCCATAGGGCTGAGGGGTGGCACTCAAAGGAGAGTGCCAGAGCAAGTTGGGGGCAGGGGTGGGGCAGGCCAGGAGGCCTTTCTGGGATGGGTGATACCCAAGACTGAATTGGCCAGGTAAAGCAATAAAGTATTTTGACAGCAGGGCCATGTTGTACAAAGATCTGAGAGTGAAAGAAGTAGAGCATACTTGGGGGATCAAAAGCAGTCCAGTCCAGTACAGCTAGAAAGTGGAGCAAGGTGAGCGGGGAACTTGTATTTCAAAGTGGTCTCACAGTTTTCATTGTCTCTTGGCCTCATGGGCAGTGGTTCCCAAACCACCAAAGTGCCCATGCCTGTCAAAGCTTTTCACCGAGGAACCACAGAAGTTATATAGTTTCTTATTCGCGGGGGTTCTTTTTTGTGCTGGCGATTAAACTTAGGGCCTTCACACTGAGCTGCATCACTAGCTCATTTTATTTTTTTTTTCATTCATTTTATTTTTTTTAATTTATTTATTTTTGTAGGGAAGGGTCTACAGGATGTTGAGGGTCTCACTACTAGATTGGACTCATAGGGATCCGCCTGTTTAGGGAAGGGTCTACAGGATGTTGAGGGTCTCACTACTAGATTGGACTCATAGGGATCCGCCTGTTTA